CGATTATCCGCTTATTTTGACGGATGATTGAGATAAATTGCGCGATAATCGTATTATATCGTATATGTGAGCAATTTATCAATTAGATTTTATATCGATAACAGCGATGCACAATACTACCGTAGATTTTTGATGATGGGTCGCGTACACATGTATGTATTATAGTACGCTCTCCGTACAATTCTGTAATAACAATGGTATCGTGGAATATAATCCCCTGGCGGTGAAGACCCTGATATTGTATAAGGCAGCAATAATCAGAAATGTAATTAGCAAATATATCGAGATATTCCATACATACACATGTACATTCGAGCAAGTAACAATTCGCCAGGGAATCATGATAAGCAGATCGATACATATCTCGCAAATTAATCGGAGGCTCTTTGATCATTCGCCTATTCTGCTTTGACGCACACGCGATCATACAATTAATTATTGACCCGTTTTAATCCTGTTAGATCTAATTAGAGAGGAGGATGGTGTCCCGTAGTCCCGTCTCAAAGTTGTTAATTGAGTTCGTTAATGCGATAAAGAAGTTCATAGCGTGTTCTCTCTTTCTTTCCTTCTTCCAGTATCCATTGTCTTTTCTCTCTCTCTCTCTTGCTTCCTCTGTCTTTTATTTTGTGTCTTTTTATTGTAGAGAGTTTCAAAGATGCGCAGAGAGAGATTCCTTCAGACAGTGATTATTTCCACTGCTTCAATTAGTTCAGTTATTCTCATCAACGAGCTTTCTAGCACCCGATCGGAACATCGAGAGATTTGTGTGCCATGTTTAATACTCACAGAAACTTGAAACGCATCTTGTGAAGGAACTCTCAAGTCGAAAAGAAGATTATCTCTTTACTCTCTCTTCTTTTACCTCATTCTCTGTGTTTTTTTGTCACAGACTTTATTTAAATTATTAGGAAAATTTGTCTTACTTGGGAAAAAAATATGTATAAGTTGAGAAAAGTTTATTTGCATTTTTACACAATAATTATCTTGTCGATTTACATTGCCTGATTTGGATCCCAGCTCTTTGTAATGAATATGCATGATAAAGTATTACCACACGAGATTTACTTTATCTCCCTTTGCATCGGATTTTCTCATATTTTTGTCGTTATAATAAGGATCGTTTATTCAATCTTGCGCATAATTATTGAAAACGTGCTTTCGTAACCACGAGATTATTGGTAAAATATTTCTCTTTTACACGCTGCGAAAATTGCCTTCGTCGAGAAATGAATTTTTCAATGCGTTCGATTGGTTAAGTCACTACTTTTATTGAGATGAAAAAAAGGCTCGACCGCGGCGTAATTTTTCTCTCATTGCGAAACGCGCGCGGCTATTGGTATTTAATAAAATGTATTCTTCTAATTATAAAATTGCATTGTGCAACTGATTCTTTGCGGATTCTGTATTCGTAAAAATGCGATTCCACGTTGTATTTATGTCACACTTATTCAATGGATGAAACTTGCGACGCGCGCGATGTGCAATTTTTCGTGCTAGATTGCATGCGAGCAACATATGCGCGGCCAATTGTGTGATTTGGAAATAAAAGAGAACATAGAAACCACAAGTCGTGTCGTGGTGCTCGCGCGCAATTTTTGCAACACCACAAAAAACGTTGCGTGTTTTGTAGGCTTTATTTAAATCATATGTTTCGTCTTGTTAACGCATAAGAAAGAGATACACTCTCTTCTCTACATAATTTGTTACTTTTTTATTTATAAATAAGAGTAAAGTAATTCTCAAGCATAAACAAAGTATAATTTAAACGACCTTATTTACTTATTTTATTTTATTTACTTTTATTTTATTGTTTACATACACGAGCGGTTTACGTCTTCTTTCCTTCTTTATATAATTAAATATTTTAAAATAATTAAATTAAAAATTTTACTTATTTATTTATTTTATAATAATATTTATATATTTTATGTTATTGTTTTATTAGTTATTTATTTTATTTATTTATTTAAAATAATTAAATTTGAAATTTTAATTATTTAAATACGTAGTGTTATTTTCTCTGACTACATTTATATAAATGTAAAATATTCTATAAAATATATTTTATTTTTGAAATACATCTTTTGTACGTTCTGCACATTTCTAGATTTTTCTCTATTTTCCATTCAACTCTATTATATTTCTCTGCAATCGTTTCCACGCAATAACGTGGAACTCGCTATCATCTCAGGAAGCACTTTCCACGACCGCGATGTACCGCGCGTTACAGTTCAATAAATCGAAATGCCGCACCTCGCGCACTGCACAGACACGAAGTCGATATTGGCCAATAATAAATGTCCCTGCACATGGCAGCGTTCAAGCCTCCGTAGTTTTCACGTTAAATTCGGGGCATCGATAATCGAAATCGACTCTCTGCCGAGATCGCAGCATTGTGCGTCTCAGCTTCATGTATAGGTACGTACAAATGTATGTATACATACGTACATATAGCATCGCGTGGTCTCAATATAAGTTGCGCCATCCCGGGAGGGGTCATTAATTATAATTAATATCGTCGTCGATAATCGTATTCCGTACAATATTACCTACGTACATTGTCGTGAAACGCTTTTGCTTTACGTATTGTATTATGAGAAAAACGATATTTTCTCGATCGGTGATCGATACGTATTATATGTGATTTTTTTTATCATGGTTTGTTGTTACAATTATAAAATGTGTGTATACACGCGAACATTATTTAGAATAGATATTAACGATTGATGGATATTTATTTTATGAATATTTATTTTATATATATTGCAGTTAAACAATAAATATAGTAAATAAGTACATAAGTGATTGAATAATGAAAATATTAGCGACGGTTCTCTTTACATCTCATTTAATAATTTTCACTTTGAAATCACAGTAAGTACTCTCTATCAGTTTTTACATCAGTTGAAAAATATGCAATGTATTGTTCTTATGTCACTTTGAGAGAGTTCTGAAGAAGACGCGAGGTAAAACATCGTGCGATAAAACATGAAATATCACTACTCGCCCCTGCCATTGGCGCTCGGAAAATGCGTGCTACGATCAAAAAAATTATCATACATAGACGGGACCTTTGCTTGTGGAAACGTACTCGTTGTGATAAAGAAATTCATACATTCGTTCGCGGTTTTCTAGAGAACCCCTTATATCGATATGACTTTGATGCTGGTTTAATCGTAGCACCGATTATAAATCACGTGTCTACAGAGGTCGCGTGATCTCGCTCCAATCACTGTTTCGCTGGTAAAAATTAATAATAATGCAAGACGAAAATTATCTCTTTGTAACGTCGTATTTTCAAATGTATTTCGTAATTTTCGTGACGGTAGAGCATACTGCGATAAACATCTTACGCGAAAGGCGCATGTACAACACGATCGTACACGAATCGCTCAAAAACGAAACATCAGATTTTACATTATGTAAGCATGAATTTTTAGTGACGCGGAATTTAAATAAGAGGTAATTATAAAATAAATAAGCGACTCTGTACTTGATGCCGAGGATAAATACGCGATATATATATATATATATATAGTTATTTCACCGTCTAATGATTTCGCGAATATATGTATACGTATACGTACAATGTTCAAGTATTAACTCGCCGGGGCCTGACAGGTGCAAGAATTGATGCCCATGGGGGTACGGCAACATCCCGACATAGATTGAGTATCGATCATTATACGCGTCGTGGTTATAAATCGTCGTTACGAATCAATTGGCCGTCGAGCGTGACTATTCGCGGATGCAATTAACTGTCGGCGGAAGGCGATTTCACTCGGTCAATTCGCTAATGAAAGGTGAAAAGGTATCTGGAGCATTCTTGGCGCTCGCTCTGTGCAGCCGTATTTAAAATCTGTTGTCTTCTTATAGAATTTCTCGATCCTTTATTTTTAACTGGATTGACATCGGAATTTTCTCAAATCGAGCACTCGCGAAGTGTTATTTAGCTTTGTGCAAAACATTGATTTAATCTTTTCTAACAATTTAATGTTTTACTCTCTTTCTTTGTGTATAAAGCAAAGTTCGATCAAAAGGCGAATGATCGTTCGATGAACAAGTTACATTGTATCTTGCAGTTTCACATCTTTCGAGTCTTATTCGTGCGTTATTTGCAAAAATGTCGACGATTTATGCGGTCTTAAACGTACAAATCGGTGCAGCGGTGCTGCAAGATGAAGGGCAGCTTTGACGTGGATTAAACGACGCTGATTATATGCATCTCGGTTGTAAATCGTTACAAATTAATCGGCCGTCAGACTCCCCTTCGTGTCTGTCGGTGGACGGGATTAAGCGCTTCGCAAGAGGAATCGATTCATCGAGCATCGATCAGAATCCTCGTACACCTCTTAACCTTTATCCGATGCTGAATCGTTTAGCCCGCTAAGAGAGTTTAGCATTTCTCTTTTTTTTTTTTTTTGCACGGATGGATAAGTGCGTTTGTCGAATTTCAATATGCGTGAAATATGCTCTTTTCAATATACGCGAGAGAGAAAGAAGAGAGAAAGAGAGAGAGGAGAAATTTGTTACCATCAAACCTCTTGACCTCTCGTTGATAAAAGATCGATGTGCGCCTTCCCCTTTTCGATCTTGACTCGCATGAATTTGCGATTAGAAGAATCACGCGCTTCCCGCAATGAATTGATAACCTTGATCGATCGAATGAGCGCATACTTTTCGTAATTGCCGTTTCGCGCACGAAATAACTGTACCACTATCGCGGCGGCTGCCCACGAAAGATGGGGCCGATAATTAATAGCCGCGATTAACTTGACACTGGCATCTTATATCATCGAATCTCGTCGAATCAGTGCTATGTGTTCGAGCGAGCGAGTGAATAACGCACTTAGCGGCTGTTGTAAAATAGTCAAAATACAATCATAAAGTTAACGTTTACATGTGAGGAACTTTATAATAATTGATCGTTAAAAAAAAAAAGATGTCTCGTATTTTATTAACATCAAAAACGTAAGTGGGATTTATTAATTCTGTCACAGGCTAATCCGTGTCAACACCCCATTATAATCCTGAGAGATGTCTCGTCGCAAGATATGGAGTCGTTGCTGCGTTTCATGTATCACGGCGAGGTGCACGTGGCCCAAGAGCAGCTGCCTGCCTTTCTGAAAACTGCACACATGCTCAAGGTGAAGGGACTAGCGGAAGTTAGCAGAGGCGCCGGTAGTGCGAAAACTCCAGCGCCGTCGTCGTCGACTGGTAACAACGCTAGCGCACCTGTAAGTTGTCCCCGCAGCAGTTTAATATGGAAGTTGGAAAATTAATTATACGGATTATACGGCTGGTTTCGAACTTTTAATTAATTTAGCCTTAATTAAAACGAATTTTAATTAATGTGCTTTTAACACTACGCCTGTGCCGCCGCTACCGTGACAAGCGGAATCCTGGGCTTGGATTTTCTCCCGTTTTGTCCTTTAGCTTTTAATTTCGCGACTCATATAAAATGAGGCGTTAGAACAAATATTACGCAGAAGTTTTAATAATGGATGAGCAGTCGCATCACATCGTTGTATAAAATATATTGAATGTTAAAGATAGATCGGAGGTAAAATTCGATTATGAAGAACGAGTGGGTTATATATGTGTCATAACACGCGAGGTCGATCTCGTCGCACTCCTGACACGTGACAACTCGTTCCTGGATTAAACACATAAATAATAAAGCGAATAAAAAAACTTATTTATATCGTTTTCTAACAAACACATGTTTTAAAAAGAGAAATTACTAAAATTAATTATTTTACATACGTATAAATAATTGTTTAAGTCATTTTAATATTATTACAAATTATTCAGAAAACGCGAAGAAATTGAAATTTTTATACGTAAATATTTTATATTGGGATAAAATTACGTGCAGATCAATATTGATGTGTGCAAATGTAACACAATAATATTGTTATGTACGATTACTGCTATATATGTGTATGTGTGTACGTGATGTTTATGATGATAGTTATTTAACATTTATTTATGAGTCGCGGAAGCTAAAGAAGTAAAAAGTTTTCACAATAGTTTATTATGTCTGTATGTATGTATGTATGTATGTATGTATGTATGTATGTATGTATGTATGTATGTGTGCATTATTTTCAATTTAAATAGGCGACACCTCGTAATCCGTGGCAAGACAAAGGAGATCTCAGTGATAACAGTCCACCTGAGAAGCGACCGAGAAGTTACAGTCCACCGAACCATGTCGATCAGAAAACAGACCTTCAAGAATCCTTGTTGGGTCAGGCCCTTGAAGGTGGCCCCACGATACACACACCTGCGAACAATATACAGGTGAGGAGAAAACATGTATGTGTGTAAATGTTGTGAGAGAAAATGACTATGATATTTGTAATGTAAACATGTCGAAATTAATATTGTTCCTAGTATTGTAATTGTAGTATTGTTGATATTGTTACAAAAATTAAAATTACTTAAGTTTTTTTTTTATATATATAAACGGAGATATGTTATTTATGTTTTAGTCAACTGGTGAAGATTCAAACTCGATGTCGGAAAATGACGAAGAAATATCGAATAACGACAGCATTCTAAACACGGTAAAGGCTGAACCGAGTGACATTTTAAACGACTCTGTGGAACATCATCGAAACAGTTTTCCTGCAGCGTTATTGAGTCTTCAAGGTAATTATTTACAAATCACAATTTTCATAATAGAATTTTATACTAAGTAAAGTGTATGATTTTGTTTGATCGTTAACTCGATATTCATAAGGCAAAGTTGAATTTATTGTGCCCCAAAGAAATTTTATAGAGAGAATATAAATTAGTTTTTTAATTATAATGACACATTTCATTATTAATTACAAATGTAATTAATAATTAATTTCTCGTCCGGTTACCAATTACTTTTGTAATTAGCAATTAACTCGACTTAATTACTAATTACAGCCTTAATTAAAATTAATTAATGAATAATTACAATTATTTCCATTTGTGTATATAATTTCATTGTGTTCTTTGACTTGCGAAAATGTTATACATTTTGTTATATACATATATAGATATATATAAAATCTATTATTAAATATAATAAACTAACACATATTATTATTATTGTTTATCTGTGCGCCATAGTTAATTTAATGGCATAGATCTCTCATGATTTACATTTTCATGCCGTAAAATCATTTATTTTGATGCGCATTATGCATATGTAATAAAAAAACAAAAATATAATAAAAATTGTAAACATTCTTTTAACTTATTGTTTAAATATTTTTTATTCTTTTGTACGTAATAAAATTGCGCCAAAGCGCAAAGTAAAATCTCTTGTGTGTATGTTGACAAATACTAAAAATTGTCTAATAATCAACATTTTCTATATTTTTTTATTACAGGGATAATGCCTGGACCGTCCGGGATGCATGTGAACCAGGATGCAGCATTCGGTAAGTGTTATTCTACACGTCAACATATTGATCTTACCCTTTAAACGTTCTCGAAGCCCAGACTAGTATCCTTCCGTCGTTTCCTAAGATTCTGGTCTCTCGTTGTTGCGTTGAATGCATGGAACTCTCGTACCTCTCACAACCCTGCATCCCCTGCCAGCCACCCCTTTTATCACACGGTGAGCAACAGCGTATTATAGAGCCGCATTTTTCGACGGCTTCTCGATGGCTTTTATTATTATTTTATATTTTACTTGTAAGAGATACAAATCTTTTTTCATATACAGCCACGCAATTACTTTTCAATTCGAAAACGAGCTTCACGTCACACGTTTTTAATTTATCTTTTGACAAAGATACGACGTAAAGCTCATTTTCACGTGGCAATTGTCTAGGGTTAGTTCTGCAAGTGTGAAATTGGTTCGCGTCGTTACTGATCGCATCGATAAAGTCTTCAGGATTGCTATATGAATCGAACTAAATCAATCTAATAAAGCTACAACTTTAATAACTTACTTATCGATGTAACAATCTAATTCGGCCGGAAAAAAATTCAACGGAAATGAAATCAGAGTTGAAAACAAAAACTGCGATATAAGAAGGTGATGATGAAGAAGAGGCGAATAGTAGGGCCGCACACAAAGGAGCGCCAAGAACAATTGTCATGTTAACTCGCAATCAAAAGTTGAAAGCAAGTTGTTTTTAGAGAGCTGGAAATTCACGACAGATATTCAGAAAAAAAAGAGAAAGTTGAAAAAGTGCATATGAAAAGGCTACAAAAGACGAAAAAAAAAGAGCGCTTGAATAGTGTTTAAGGAATCATACAAGATTGGATGAGGACTGACATTGGCTGGTGGTTCCAGGGCGGTGGCAGCCCTCTGGAGGAGATGGCTCAAACCCGAGTTCCGGTTGGCTGTCGGGTACATCCTCCACGAGGAACGAGCACGCCGGGTCTGGAACCTACCAGAGCGGCGGCGGGCACAACTCGAAAGGGCAGGATCTCTCGACCTTGTTACAGCATCACCATCATCATCATCTCACCACCAGCCAACAGTCGTCGCAGCAACACACTCTCAATGCCCTCAACTCACTCAACAGCCTGAACACTGAGCAACTCACGATGATGCATCAGAAACTGCAGAACAATCTTCAAAGTCTCCAGCAGAGCGCCAAGCAGAGCGATCAATTGAACCTGATGCTTCACACCTGTGCGAAGGACAAGATCGAGAGCATGGCGATGCTCCATCAAACACAAAGACGTTACCACCAGATGGACAACTCCAATCACAGCAGTAAACCAAAGTGTCCCGAATGCGGCAAGATATACTCTAATAATTCGAACTTGAAGCAGCATATTGTCAATGTTCATACTGTGCAAACCGAGTATATCTCGTGTTATGTGTGCAGCAAGCAATTCAAGACTAAGCAGTACCTCCAGATCCACCTGCTTTCTATGCATGGCATCAGAAAACGGAAGAGCTATCCCTTATATCAGATGCAGACACACATGCAGGCGCAGCAACAATCGTCACAGTCTGCTTCTCAGATTTCTCCTGCGGGCCAACAGCCTCAGTATTCTACGACAGACAGGTGGTCCGAAGATAAACAGTGATCCGAGAACTGATCGGAGTAGAGATTTCGTTTATGCGATTACACTTACGTGTGAAGAATCCTGAAGACACTTTCTGATGCGTGGAAGAATCGCATTCGCTGATGTCTCCGCGTAATTTGTGATAAAAGGACACTGGTAGAGGCAGCGCCTGTCGAATTTTTCGTGCCGCGAATTTCATAGTGATGGGTTTGTTATTAGTATCGCATGGAGAGAAGATAAAAGATATGACAGATTTAAATGTGAACACACAGCGCGTTGCTTGTATTTTTGCGCTTTAGAAATGACAATGTGTGTTCGTGTCTTTTAGCGAAAGTGAGTTAATACCGATAGCACTACGATCGAAAGTGTCACTGTGTGTACATATGTATACGTATAGACTCTCTCTGTGATGCGCTGGAGGAAGGTGCGTAGATACAACATAAAATATATGTTTGTTATTTTCGTAAATAACAATAGGAAGAAACTATGTACAATCATATAAAAATATCTCACACAATAGTTTGACGATTTATGTATAAAATACATTTATTTATATTTTATAGATAATTTTGAGATCTCATGATTTATTTATTTTTGTTAATGAAATTGAAAATCACGGACGAGGAGGTTTTGCTCCGATTACTTGCATTATTACTTACATATCTATTTTAGAGTTTTATATTTGCTCTTTTTCTGTGAGAGACGCGTATCTTTTATAGACACTATCACAGAGAAAAAAAGGTTTCTTCAGATTTATTAGTTAAGAGTTTGCTTTATTCTTCTTATTATTATTATTATTTTTTTTTTATTTTATTTTTATTAAAATAGAATCTTACACACAAACCAACATAACATTATATTGAATTAAACTGGCATTTAATTCAAACAAAAAAAGTGTTGAATTAACATATTAGTTTAGCTGTTGTCTCAGCTGAATATTTTCTTTGAAATAGCAGAAGGACAAGTAAGATAATAAGAAACTTACTCGAAGATAAATATTTATTTTTTATGTCAAAAATTATTTTAGAGAAGTATTAGTTTTCAAATAAATAATTTATTTTTAAATCAAATTTGCCTATTATTTGAAAATTCAAGCGATCGCACATTTTTGTTATTTCAAACATCATGTCGAGTGGATTATTTAAATTTGTGTTTAATAAAGTTCATAAGTCTAAAGAAACTTTTTACTCTGTACACAGACAAAAAAAATGATAAGATATAAATGAATTGCGCTCATAAGTCTTATTTACTTTTTCGTAAGTTTAGTTGTACGAGAAGAAAGAAGTTAACACGTTGAGTGACACGCAAATTTGTCGTTTGCTTTAGCACCGAGATTGACTGTCATTTTTCTTGCCTTTATCGTCGAGCTAAGTATAAATTCGTGTTTTGTTGTAACAAATTTATAGTGATACCACTTCTAAATGGTAGAAGAGATTGTCTCATACGATTTATTATCGCATTATTTTTTTATTTCAAAAAAAAACAAAAATGCGTCGGACTGACTCTCAGTTAGCCCGACGTGGCAGTCAGCGTGTTACTAAAATAACTATTGAAATTGTTCAGATGCATAATTTACTTTATGACGAATCGATTTCCTACGAATATGTTAAATATGTGCTTCTCCATATTTCGTAATGATACATTAAATAATTGAGACATGCCGTGTAATCGGTAGAATTACACATTCATATATTCACACATCCGTCATTTCGAAATTATTAACTTAACCTACCGTTTTTTGTTTTTTTTTGTTTTTTTTTTTGGTTAATTCGATTTTACATTTCACCTCCCTCTAAGCGCATCAGCGGCGGTTAAATTTGACCTTGAATGTGTGTCGAAAAAGCCGCTCCTAAACGACCGAAGCGTACTCGTAGATATTCGTTTTTTATTAGAGCTTGGATAAGGGTGCGGAGGTGTTGATAGGTAAGGTGGAGGCGAAAGAGGGTGCTGGTACGAGAATTGGCCGACCTATTTTCGTTCCATACCGCAGTGCGCAGTTCGCCCTTCGCGGCGACGATAAGCAGACCTTCTCGATTGGTTGAAGGAGGAAAAACAGGGGGGAGAGACATAAGAGAGACAGAGGTAGATAAAGCCACACAAAAACTTCCTCCGTGAAATTCCTTACTTAGGTGTAACTAGTGTGATAAGGGAAGCGATATGACCAGTCTTGTTTCTGGGTTTTTTTATATTTTTGCTTTTTTTTTAAAGCTCGCATTGTAAAACTAAGTCTCTGCCGTGTATTTGTGGAATCGGCAGCTTTTGTGGACGGATGAAAGATAACGTGGAACAAAAACGAGCGGAAAAATCAAAACTGCGGGTTCTACCTTGAAGAACTATAGTCATTAGTTCCTTTTTCTTCAAGTAGCTTCTTTTTGTGGAAAAATTTTTAATTTTTTTTTTTATATGAAACATATGATTGATGTGATTTTGTGAGAATTCAGATGAAAGTTTCCATAAAAGATCACTCACTAAAGGTGTCAAAACGTTTTGCGTGAAGAGTACACGTAAGTGATACTAAAAAAAAAAAAAAAAAAGAGAATTATCACAATTTTTTAAAACAATTATAAGGTTTCTTCATCGCGAATGTATACGAATAGAATTTCGCAAATTGAAACAGAGTCATAATACTAGTTGCAATCGCAATTTCGCGACGGCAATATATCGTAATTGGCATGATTGATGGCACACAACACATGTGTATACATATATACAGGTGACGATCATTTCATTAATCATGAGATTTCTCCTGTTCATCACCGATTATGTCAATTTACTCTACATAAACAAGGATTGAAATGCAGACAATCATAACGTTTTGTATCGCGGTTTTATTTTCAATCAGAAATCGAGACAAACATTTTGCCGGAGTAAAAAAATCCGGAGTCAATTGATGCAGCATCACTTCGTTTCTCGTGACGTGTATCGGGAACATGTACATGTTATGTACGTCACGCGTGCTATCGTCCGCGATGTTATGAGGGAGAAAGAGATAGGGTACGTCGTATTGATCTCGAGGATTCAACAAACAGCACCTAGTACCTCCCGCGCGTTCTCCTCTCTAACTCTATCTTGCTTCTCCACCCGGTGCCAATCCCACTCTCTTCACCTCACCCTCTCCCATTTTCTCTTTCCTTCGTCGATGCTTCTCTCTCTCTCACTCTCTCTCACTCTCTCTCTCTCTTTCTCTCTCTCTATCCCTCACTATGTTCTATACCATTCGATTCGCCCTCGTGTATATACGGGTTTGATGAGGGCAAGCAACCCCGCTCGGACGATAATCGCAATTCCATTGTCGGGTTTTCGATCGCTGTCGGTCTCGTCCAGACGATACTTCGTGCTAAAGATCCATCTTCTTCCGCATTTTTGTTACGACGAATCCGTGGGAGTTGTGTTACAGGACGATATCCAG